CTTTTCATGAATTTTGAAAGGTTTCATCCGATCGGAAGAAGAAGACCTTGGCTGATTCGGGCCCCAATCAGGCGTCTGTGCTTGTAACCTCTTTTCATGAAGTGAAGTGGGTTGTGTTTGTGTTGATCGCCGCGATCAATGATGTATGACGACTTGAAACGAGAAGTGTGTGATGTTGATTGTACGATGGGTTGACCTCGGGTGACAAGAGAACGATGCCGGTTGATTGAGCTGTCATCCATAAATGCTTATGAGACGTGGATGATTGCGTTTGAATGGGGAGTGATTCTCGAATGACAAGAGATCGATGCCGCTTGAATGAGATGTGATCATCAAATGAGAAGCGGATGATGCCGTTGAAATGAGGAGCTCTTCTCCGAATGACGAGAGATTGATGCCTTCTGAATGAGCTGTGATCCAGAGAGAAAAAGTGGATGATGGCGGTTGAGTGAGGACACGTATGAGATGGCGTTCATTGATCGTCAAAGAAGACCTTGCTTGGTTAGGGTTGCGTGCCGGCATTTGCACTTGTGAGGCTCTTCTTGTGAAGCCAAGTGATGCCATGTTGGATCTGAGTGCCACAATCATTGTCTTGTGAGAAATTAGCAATGCTGACTGAACGACAAGTGGGTCTTAAATGATAAGCGGGTCTTGCATGACAAGTGAATCTTGAATGTCAAGTGGATGACGATTGGAATGAGAAGTGGATGAAGATTGCGGGATAAAAAGTGGATGATGATTGCGGGATGAGAAGTGAGTGTTGGTGTTAGAGATATTATGGAATGAGAAGTTGGTAATGCTGGTTGGATTTGAAGTGATTCTCAAATGAGAAGTTGGTCATCTTTTTTTTTTTTCTTTTTCTTCTTCTTTTTTTTTTTTCTTTTTCTTCTTCTTTTTTTTTCTTTCTTTTTTTCTTTTTCTTCTTCTTTTTTTCTTCTATTTTTATGCAGTTGTAAAACAAAATGTTGCTTCGGGATGTGTGAGAGGAGGAGTGAGAATAGCAAAGAACGAGTTCTTTGATCCCAGGAAAGGATAGCGCAAGGATGAGAGAGCAAGTGTCGCACAAGATGTTGCAAGAATGATCATGTCGCTTTTTTGATTGATGACCAAGTATTGCCCTCTTGACCATGAAAGCTGTTTGTGAGCTGAATTTTGGAACCGTTGCGTAAATTGATCATGCAAAAAAATTGGGAATGCTGACAAAAATGAAACATGATGCTGCTGTGACGGTGGGTGTCGGAAGAATTGAATGATGGCGATGACAAGTGCACCCTTTCGGCTGATGCGATCGAATTTTGATCTTGCGTGTATCGACAAAGGGAAAAACGATGCATTCGACTGCACTCCTTGATCTTCCAAAGATTTGTTCGATTCATCCGGGTAAATACTTGGTTGATTTTGGGCCCCATTCAGTCGTTTGTATTTGTATTTGTGAGCTCTTTTCATGAAATGATGCCGGTCGTGCCTGCGTTGATTGCCGCGATCAATGTTGTGTGACAATTTGAGAAGAGATATGCGTGATACTGATTGTACGATAGTTGGATCTCGAATGACAAGAGAATGATGCCGGTTGAATGAGCCGTAATCCACAAACGAGAAGTGGATGATGCCGGTTGAGCGAAGACACGTATGAGATGGTGTTCATTGAATTTTCAAAGATGTTCCCGAAGTGTCAAAGAAGATCTCGGCGTTTGCACCTGTGAGGCTTTTCTTGTGAAGTGAAGCGATGCCATGTTTGCTTGCATTTGAGTGCCGCAATCATTGTTTTGTTAAAATTTGTGATGCTGATTGGATGACAAGCTGATCTTGAATGACAAGGGGATCTTGAATGAGAAGTGGCTTTGGAATGAGAGGTGGGCTTGGAATGAGAAGTGGGTTTGAAATGAGAAGTGAGTCTTGAATGACAGGTGGAAGATGGGCGGAATGAGATATGGGTATTAGGGGTTGGATTCAATCAAAAAAGGGGACTTTATATACCTTTCATCCATTCGTTTCGCAGTTTTCAGAATTCGTATTATTTTCCCTATACTGTCAAGTATGTCAAAATCGGATCTGACAGGTCAACTGAGATGCATGTTATAGAAAAAGAAAAGACCATCCATTCGCTAGCATGATTTACAGTTCTAGGTTTTCCTTGGACCATCCGATGGATTGAAGAAATCCCGATCTTTCGGCTTCCCGGCAAATTATGCTTGGCAGCCTTAATATGTTTGATATATTGCATTGCTGATGCTTTATGTTTGACCATCTTGAGTTTTTGTCAACCATCCGATGGTTCTGAAATATCCCGTTTTTTGGCTTTTCAAAAGGAATTTTTTTGTCGGATCATCTGCAGCTGCTATTTATATCTTTCACTAACCATCTGATGGATCTGAGATAACCCGCTTTTTTGGCTTTCAAACGAACACTGTTTTGACGACTCATCTGCACCTAAAATCTGTCATTTTTGCTAACCATCCGATGGAACTGACAATCCCGTTTTGCTGGCTTTCAAATAAGTACATTCTTGACAAATAATCTGCAGCTGCTATTCATAACCCTTACTAACCATCCGATGGTTTTGAGATATCCCGCTTTGCTGGCTTTCAAACGAATACTTTTCGACCAATCATCTGCAGCTACTATTTATGACTCTTACCAACCATTCGATGTTTCTGACAATTCTGGCCTTTCTTGGCTTTTGAGCGAACACTTCTTTGACAAATAATCTACAGCTGCGATCTGTAATTCTTACTGACCATCCAGCGGATCTGACATATCCCGCTTTTCCGGCTTCTCGGTAAGTGCTTGCTTTGCAGCCTTGATAAGTTTGCTGCACTCTGCTCTCTTGTCCGTCTTTTAAGACCTCTGCAGCACCATTCTGCTCTGCAGGTATGAGTGAAGGTGTCAAACCTTTAGATGGTGAAAGTTTTGTGTATGCACCTATCGTTAT